CCCAGAAACAACCCAGATGTTCTTCAAAGAGTGAATGCATGATGTGGTATATCTATATCACAGAATACTACTTAGCAATAAAAAAGAACAAACTATTAATGCAATAACCGCCTGAGTGAAAAAAGTCAATTCCAAAAGATCACTATTGTTTGATTACATGCATGTATATTTCTAAAATGACAAAGTTTTAGAAATGAAGAACAGACTAGTGGTTGCCAATGGGCTACGGAGTGGGTAAGGATAGAAGAGAAGTAGGTGTGGCACCATGAGGAACCTTCCAGGTAATGGAATTTTTCTGTATAATGATTACACCAATGCTGACATCCTGATCTGTACTACAGTTTTGCAAGATGTTAACATTGGGGGGAAGTGGGTTGAGGAGATAGGGGATCTCTGTGTGGTTTCTTAACAACTATAAGTAAATCTATAGTCATCTCTAAATGAAAAGTTTAATTTTAAAACTTTAATCAAACTGAAGCTACTTCAGATCTTTTCTGGCATCTAAAGAGTTTTCTCCTTGCTGTAATTTTGTTAGCAGCCAAAGGTTAAGCTTAAGTGCTACAAATATTTGGGAGAAACCTACCTAGCACCTTGGGCCAAAAATATTTGCCAAAACAAACCTGCCTACAGAAATCTCATTCAGGGACATGTATTAGCTTACAAAATAACTGTTTAGATAGAGTGGATATGTTCTTGCTAATACTGCATATTAATTGAGGGTTTTTTTGGGTTTCATTATGCAATTTCCTTAAATTATTTATTTCCCTCCAAACAGCTATGAGGAATTTCTTTTCTATTTTAGTTTTTAAAAATTCATCTGTAAAACATGAGTCCATTGTCATCAATATTTAAACAAAAAGGCAAAGTTCCCTCACTTCCCATCCCAGTCTTTTCCCCAGAGAAAAACATTGCTGTCAGTTTAAAGTATTTCTTTCTAGATTTTTGTGTGTGTATTTCTAGACATATGTACAGTTGTGTGTGTGTGTGTGTGTGTGTGTTTACAAAGATAGGATCATACTATTTATACTGTTTTTCAAATTCCTCCCCCCCCCCCTTTAAAATGTCTTGAAAATTTACATGTCAGTGTATTTAGATCTGATTTAACTCCTTCTTTTCAGCTGCCTTACAAGTAGTCTGTGGTATTGATGTACCCTAGTCTAACTGTTTGCCTGTTGACACTTAAGAAGGTTCCAACTTTTGCTATTGCAAGCAATGTAGTCATCAGTGAAAATCCTGTACATGTTTCTGTGAACATATATGAGGGTATTTCCCTAGGAAAGAAACCCAGAAGTAGAACTAGAGCTTGGAAGGTATGGTGGACATTGTTGATTGGCTGAACCAGGACCTGCTCCCACCCATTTTCAAACATCTCCTTTCTTCCTCCCACAGCAAAGGCTAAAATAGCTGGAAACTTACTTTGCTTACAGCTAGGGTTGGCCATGTGACCCAGTTCTAGCCAATTAAACATCAGCAGAGGTATGCTAAGTGCTCCCTAGGAATGTTTTTGCTTTCCAGGTAAAAGGGATAGCCATGACTGGCACTGGCCCATTTTCCTGCCCTGAAGGTGGCTGTGGTGTTTGGAGGGGTGGCAGCCCTGTTACAACATGAAGGAAAGCCAAGAGAATCACGATGATGTCAGCCCTGACCAGTGAATTGCTGGATCAAAGCCAGCAGTAGCCTACCTCCAGACTGCGTGTTATGTGAAAGGAATGAACTATACCGGTAGAAGCTGCAGTATAAGTCTGGTTTTCTGTTACTTGTAGCCAAATGATTCAGTACTAAATTACTCTCGAAAAGGTTTATACTCATCTTATTCTCTCACAAAAATCTTTAAGAGTATCCAATTCCTAAAACTTTTATTTACTTTGGATGTTGTCAGTCATTTAAATGTTTAACCAAGCTGAGGCATGAAAATGTTTCATATGAAGTGGTGCATCCCTTCATACGTTTATTGGACATTCGGATTTCCTCTTGTATGACTTTCTTGTTTATATCCCTTGACAACACTTTATTGCATTGTTTGACTTTTTCTTATTGATTTGTAAGGATCAATTTCCAGATAGCAAAGCAGACTGAATTAAACTCATTGGGGAAATCTGTCTCTGCCTCCTTACATTATCAATCACATCAAACACAACTAAGAAATAAATCTTCCATGCCAGGCCAGGCTGACGGTGACAATCGTGACAGTTATCTCTGAGTGCTGCACCACCACATAGCAATGTGTCAAGAAGTAATTCAATTTGTGCAAAACACTACAGCCCATGCTTAGCACTTCTTTTGCAAATCTATACCCAAAGAAAGGCTTATGAAATGGTGCCACACTGGTGAACCAGGCAGAGTCCTTAACATATATCATTTTATTTAACCCTCATATCAAACTCAAGAGGCAGTCATTATTATTCCTGTTTTACAGAATAAGTAATGAAAGTAAACTTTTAAAACCAATAGTTTCTTTCTTGCCACAGAAACTTACATTCTAGGCCCCATATTTAAAAACAAAACAATTAAGTGTTTACCTGACATTAAAGTTATGTAAAATATATTGTGCCTATCTAAATACATCAACATGCTTAAGTTAGAAGCATCGCTAAACCAGTTTAGTGGTTTAAGAATCTCAAGAAGCTGTTCCAAAGTGTGGCTCCAAAGTTTACTGCCACACTGTAGTTAACCAAAATTGTTTCCATTTTTTAAAGTAAAAAACTAAATTGAGTAGGATTGTAATGCTTCAGCAAAAAGAAGCTATTAGCTAGCTACCCCACCCCAGAGCAAGGGGGTAAAGAATTCCTCTAATCAGTTAACAATCAACCAGTCTGACACTGGAAAACAAACAAAATGAGCTGTTAAAGATGATGAAAGACTGGGGTGAAAGCAATGTAAATAAGTAGACTAGAACATGCACCATCCTGAGTATTTGGACATGGTTTGGATTTTGGATAGATTGACTATTTTAAAAAGCCTAGCAGTTAGAGGAAAAGAGAAAATTGGGGAGGCTTCTGCTCCTGGAGTCAGGTGTGGGACAGCAGGAGGGCTGAGGCACTGACAAATATGTCCTTGCTTTATGCCACACCTCCCCTCACAGAGCTGTGGATCCTTTCTCTGGCAAAGCATCACACAAAGTACTCAATCCACAGTGAGTGAGGAGCACAGGCATCAAACCTCCTGGATGCCTTTTACTAAACCCTCCCAGGGGACACACCCAGCCCAGAGCCTACAGGCCAGAGCCCCAAGAACTGACAGTCCTTAGGGCAGGAAGACCAGAACCCTGAGATGCTGCCTGTTTGGACACCCCTCCCCCCCCCCCTGGGTTGGCATGGAGGTTCACCTAAAGCATTCTCTTGTAGAATTTTTTTAGCCAGTTTCTAAGGCACAGAAAAATCCCTGGGGGAGTTTGAATTCTCATTTTACATGAAAGAAAACAAGTGTGCAGAAAGAACGCTTACAGTCTTCAAAAGTGCAAATGGGTTGACAAATTCCGAATCTGAGGGTACCTCTGGTTGTTTCTTACATTTTCCTGGTGGGCTTGCCCAGCGGTCCCTGCTTGGGGAGAGGCAGTGGAGTTTTCCCCCACCCAACCCAAGTTCCTCAGAAGGGCTACACACTTCACCCCACTGGCACAGCAAGGGTGATAACACATGGAAAGAAATCTCTTTCCCAAAGTCAGCTGTGGCCAGGCCAGGCTTGCAGAGGGGAGGAATCCTGGTGGGCTGCTCCTGACCTCCATCCAGGTGTCTGAAGTAAGGTGTATCCAGGGGCATAGAAGTAAGAAAGTGAGACAAACTTTTGTCACCGGAACAAAACTAGCCAAATTCCTTGGCCTTTCAGAACAGTCTGTCCAAGCCTCAGGACAGCTCATTAGAGAAACAGTAATCAGGGCATGTGAGAGAGGGGGACAGCAAGTCTCAGAGAGGGGCAAAGACAAAAAGAAAAAAAGAAAGAAGGAAACAGAAGAGGGTGACGGGACCAAAATGTGCCCAAATCAAACCAGGTGCTGCAGCACAGTGCTGGGAAAAGACACATCTGGCAACCTAAGGGCTCCCTGAGTGCCTGTTAGAGCTGGGCCCTAAATGAGTTCAGAGAGCCAGGCCTTGCAGGTGCTCCTAACTTGCTGGCTCACCGAGACTGCAAAGAGCAGAGAAGGGAGGATGGTTTAGCACTTCCCGCACCCACCCCCAACCAGCACAACCAACTAAACACACCCAGGCTCACTCTCTGGTGGACACATATGGTCAGGCAGGCACACTCATCTGCACACACAGCCTTCAAGTGTGTGAGTGCACACACACACACATACACCCTCCCAGTGCACAGACACAACATAGTGTAGGAACACAATCACACTAACTCCATCAGGAGTGGTGAACATACATACAACATCTCTGCAGGCTCATGCTCATGCAGGGAAAGGTGTCTCTATCTCTGCTGCTCTCTCTCACACACACCATAACCTAAGTACATACAAACCTCTACATAAGATACATACACAAACTCACAGCCCGTTAGGAAAACATGCACTCACACCCATCCTTACAATCTCTCAGGTGGAGTGTGCATACACAAATTAGTGCACACGCACTCGTAATCCATCAGGCACATCCACACACTCACAACCTCTGTCTCGAGCACACACACCCTTACAACCTGCACACACAAAACCTACCAGGGCACACGCACTCACAGTCGGCCAGGAACACACTCGCGCACAACTTCTCTGTCGGCGTGAGTGCAAACAAACTCGCCGCCACCGCGGTCACGCCGCACTCACAACCTCCTGCTGAGATGCACACACCACCTCACACGCTCTCCGCCGGCGCAGGCACGCTCGGCCTATCTCCGCCGGCACACGCACACTCACAGCCTCCCCTGAGGGCGCACCCCGCACCCTCGCACCCCCCTCCCCAGGCCGTGCCAGCGCCGGACAGCGAGCGCCGGACAGCAAACTCGGGCGGTGCGGGTTGTGCACACGCCCCCGATCCGCAGCTGCCAGCGCCCCTCCTCACCTTTCTCGCTGGCGCCCCGCGCCCGGCCCTCGTCTTCCTTGGGGTTGGTCACCTGGGTGATGATGGCTGGGCCGTCCATGGGGGCGCGGCGCGGCGGCCGCCCACCGGCCCGGCCCCCCGCCTGCCAGGCGCGCGGGGGCGCGGCGCGGTGGGCGAGCGGGGCCGCGGGCCGGGGGAGCGCTCGCCGCCGCGGCCGCCTGGGCGCGCCCGCCGCTCGGCCCCGCGCTCTGGGAGAGGCGGCCCGCGCCGGTGCCCCAGCTCCCGCCGCCGCCGCTGGGCTGGAGCGGCCGCCGCCTCGTCACCATGAACCCCGGAGCCGCGCCCGGGAGAGCCGCGCACCGGGAGGAGAAGGGGGAGGCCGGGCGCCGCGGGAAGCGGGAGCGGGCGAGGGGGAAGGAGCAAACGCGGAGCGAGGGCGGGAGGGCGGGAGAGAGGGAGGGAAGAAGGGAGGGAGCGAGGGAAAGAAGGAGGGCGGGCGGGTGGGTGTGTCCCGGCCCTGGGACCGGCCTCCGCCGCCGCCGCCGCCGCCGCGGGCTCTGCCCGCCAGCCCGGGGGGAGAGGGGTGCGGGGCGAGGGGGAGGCGGTCGGGGGGGTGGTAGGGGACGCGCGCGCCTGGGGTCCTGGGCAGAGGAGTGAGGTGAAGGGTTGGGGTGTAGGGGATTCCAGAGGAGTTCTGGCGGTAGGTGTGAGGGGCCCCGGGCGCACGGGGTGTCAGGGGGTGGGAAAGTGAGGGGGCGGTGAGGGGTCTGGGTGTGAGGGGTGTGGGAAGGAGTCTGGCAGACTGGGGTGAGAGGCGTGGGGGGGATACACAGGGCCCGTGGGGTACCGAGGGGTGCGCGGTGCGCGGACTCGGGGACCGAAGAGGGATTGCACGGATGCGGGAGTGAGGCTGGGCCTTGGGGAGGGATATTTACCCGGATGAGGTAGGAGTATGGGATAGAGTGTGGGATGGGGGTTGGGGTCCTGAGAGGGTGTTTTGGGGGAGGTGCTGGTAAGGGCGTCCCAGCGCGGGGAACCGAGGAACAGGGACGTGGGCAGGAGGGCCCAGGTGTGCGGGAGCAGAGGCTGCTAAGGAGCGGTCCCTTACACCAAGGCGGTCCGCGGAGGGGGTCCTGGGCCCCGGGGATGAGAAAACCAGGAATAAGCGGGGGTCAGGAGGGGGTGCGTCTGCGGACCGGGGTGGAGGCCCCAGGCGTGGAGTGCTCTTGGAACCCGCATCAGTTTTGTGCGGGACAGCCCGCGTGCGGGTCCTCGAGGATCAACCTCCTGGCACGTGGCAGTGTCACCTTCGGGGGGGGGGGAGCCTGGGCAGTGGGAATTTCCGGGTGCTCGGCAGAAAGGGGGGTGGGGGAGCCGATCGAGGGCTGAGGAGAGGAAGGGGCCTGTAGCGGGCCGAGATGGGCACGGACTGTGCTTCTGAAGAGGCGCCAGCCACTGACAAGCCTGGGGCGACGGCCAGAGCGCGAGCATGACGGGAAAGTGCCCCTTCAGCTTCGGATAGTCGGAGCCCTTTTCGTACTGGCGCCTTCGTGTTCCAACTTGGAGGCCACACTGGCAGCTTTGTAAACCAGGGGGCGGGGCAGTGCCGCAGGAGGGCGGGTCTGGAGGCGGGGCCGGGGCGCTCGCGCGCTCTCCACCAATCAGGAGGAGTTGGGAGGGCCTGCGGAGTGCTACGTCGTGGGCCAGGCCGAGTGGGCGGGCTGCCGCGCAGAGCGCCCCAACGCGCGCGCACTGAAGGCCTTGTAGGCTCGTCCAGGCTTGTTGTGCCCCAGAGGAAGCGAGGCTAATGGGACCTTTCTCCTTCATATACACTGGAGCATGGATCTTGTTGCAACGAAGTTGAGTGCTCACGAGAAAACCAGCGATCCTCTCCAAAAATTTATTGTATACTTCAGGAAGGGCTTCCGGCGAGGAGCACCCCACAGACCTCCCTGGTCCCTGCACTAAGTCGACCTCAGTGAGGGTCCCCAGTGGGAGACAGCCCTGGAACAGGGCTCCTGTGTCTGAGGCTGGTGGGAGAGCACTTCCGGGGAGCTGCTATAAAAGGTAGTTAGGCAAGCAGTGGGTGTTTTGCCCCCAAAGCCAGACCTCAAGTGATATCCTGGCTCTGTTAATGGGGCGGGGGGGGGGGGGGGTCTCGGTTGCCTTGGCGTGTGCTCTTACAGCTGCACCTTTGGGACCCCAGTGATTTGCCTGGGACAGCCGAGCCATGAAGGTTGCAAGTGAAGTGCCCTTTTGGTTAGAAAGGCAAGCCCTAGTTAAGTAGCCTGGGCTCCAGGACATGCCCTACCTAACCCTCCCAAGTGCAACCAGATTAGGGCCCCATTGCACCCAGGACGTCCCTTATCTCTACTTCTAATGCTCTTCACATTTGTTGTGAGGGGTTTATGGCTGGGCCAGAGCATGACAAGTTAAAATGTTTTCTGAATTCAGTTTTTTAAATCTACTGAATTCTAAGGGATCAGAGAGGAATTTCCCAGAGATAGCTGTGTGGGGAGATACCACTCCTCATACAGTCCTTAGTATATGACCACAGAAATCAGCATCCCTGCTGCCTAGCTGACACAGCGTCTCATTAACCAGGGCAAGGTGATAGGAGCACTTGGACTCACTGATCCACATACCTGAGGCCTGATTCCTTTTGGGTGGGGGACTTTCAGAGGTTCTGCACACTTAGCTGAGGGTAGGGAAGGAGCTCAGGGTACAGGGCCAAAGGAAGTGGTTTTCATCACAGATTCTCTTTAAAAACATTCTCCATCTTTTCTTTATTTTTTATTTTTTAAGAGAGAGAGACAGAAACATAGAAGAGAGAAAATCGATTGGCTGCCTCCTGCACACCCCTCACTGAGGACCCAACCCACAACCTGGGCATGTGCCCTGACCGGGAATCGAACCAAGACTTATCAGTCTATGGGACAATGCTCAATCCACTGAGCCTCGCCAGCCAGGCAGATCAAATTACTAAATATACAAAATTCATAGGTAAGTAAATACACCAGGACAAATATGAGTAAATGCTTTTTTTAAACTTGGATGGGAAAAGCCTAAGACTGACAAAAACTCCAGAAATTACAAAGGATAAGATTGATAAATTTGGCTACATTTATTCACTAAACAAACATTTATTGAGTGTCCACTATGTGCTGTGTTCTGTTCTAGACACAGAACCTCAGAGTTGTCCAAAAGGAGGTTTTGGGAGCTGGGCTGTCATACTCTTGCATGTCCATTACAGCTAGGTCTGTCCTGGGGGCCCGAAGCCCCCAGGTACTTTGGGCTTCCAGGGAATAAAGCAAAGCTGCCCCAGTGACCTGAGGACAGGTGCCAACCATTGGAGGCCAAAGCACATCAAACCTCAGAGAGGAATGCCCAGAAATAGTAAAGGGGATCTAAGGGGATCTGGACAGAGCACCAAAATGTCATCTGAGTCACAATTCCCAGCCTCCTACCATGCAGTGCCCTTGTTCCACATGCACTATTTAATGTTCTCCTTACATTAAATACATTTTTATTTAAATAGAAAATTAGTGGGTAAGATCTTTTAAGGAAAGACAAATGGGAAATGTAGGAAGGACCGTGATCCCCAAAAGGAAGAGCTGTGCAGAGTGAGGTGACAGAAACTAGAATACTATGGGCAGGGGGACATGGGACAAGGGCTGGCAAGCTGGGCCTCAAGGGGCCAAGGACAGGAACAGATAGGAAGATGGAAGGTATTGGTGAGAGCAGCCTGGCCTGGAGCTCCAGCGTGGGAGGGAACAGTTGGACCAGAAGGTGGGGGACAGTGGCATGACTGCTCTGAGGGTGAGGGAGAGACTGCCCTTGACAAAGAAACACTGAGTTTGAGCTGCCCCTCCCATGACCTGGAAGACCAAGGTATTGTTAGGGAAGCCAGAGGGCTTCCTTATGTCCCAAGACACCCGTCCTGTCTTCCCTGCTCAGTTGCCCCAGGACATCATCATTAAGGGCTTCCCAACAGCTTTTCCTTTTGCCTTCAACACTCATGCTCCTGCGACATCCTGATTCTTTCTTGCCAAGACTCCCTCTCCCCATCACACATGGGCTCCTCCAACCAAATGTCTATCTCCACTGACACCTGGCGCTTCCTAGGCATCTTTTCCCTCTGCCCTCACCCCCAGGGTTTCTTTCCAACTGGCCCCACTTGGGACGTGTGTAAGTCATCCTCACCTGAAAAAGGCCCCCTAATGGGCCACTGGTCTAGCAGGTGTAGGCTGCCCCCTGGTGGCCCCCATATTGTGAAGTCCTTTATATGTGCCCAATTGAATAGGAAAGCTGGCCTCTGTCCCGGCCAGCTCTCTGGAGTATACCACAGCTAGAATGGGCTCAGTCATGTCCTTCTCTTCACCCAGCAGTTCTGATTTGCATTCCTGTTCAGCTTTCCCCAGGGTATTAACAGAAAAGCCCTCGGGAATGTGAGGGTCTGTGCGTTTGGAGGGGTAGAGAGTAGGGGAATTATGTGCCCCACTTGGCCACCAGTCTTGGAGTAGAGATGGAGTGGCAGAGTTGATGCTAGCTGCTGGAGATGGACAGAAGGGCGGTCAGCCGGGGGTCCTGAGCACGGGAGGAAAGGGCATCTGGTAGAAAGCTGCTGGTCAGGAAGTACTGGGGAAATATGAGAGCAGGACACAGCCTGGTCTGAGACAGACTCTGCAGCCTTGGAGCTGAGAGGTTACATCCTCAGGGTACCGAGAAATCCAGGTAGCCTTCTTAGAGGAAGACACCTCAGTCACTTCCCTCTACCTCCAAAATCCCCGACCTGTCCTGTCCAGAGAACCTGGGTGGAAGTAGGGGACACAGCCCTGGGCTCAGGTCCTCCCTGGGAGCTCTGGGTGGGGGGAGGATCTGGTCCCACCCCGAAACCATGTTACAAAGGAATAGCAACTGGAGCAGGGCACTGTGTCTTCAGCCCATTGGCAGGAATGACTTTGGCTCATGAATAGGCAATATGTCATAGAGTCCCAAGTTGATTTAGTGACTCTGGAGCCAATGAGCCCCTTGAGGTGGGACCCCACACTTCTAACCCCCAGGTGGATTGCCCCTTCGACGCCTCTCCTATGTCCCAGGGTACAAGGTATCACCT